TTCCTCTCCTTTTCTCCTTCTTTTTCTTTTCTTCCCCCCCCCCCTCTTCCTACCTATTTTTTTCTTACTCTTTCCTTCATCTGTTCACTTTGGGGTTGTCGCATCCCTTCCAGGTCAAACCCCGTGGAGGGCAAGCTTATCTTCTGCAACGGGGTAGTCCTGCACCGGTTGCAGTGCGTCCGCGGCTTCGGGGAGTGGATCGATTCCATTGTTGAATTTTCCTCCAACTTGCAAAACATGAACATCGATATCTCGGCCTTCTCCTGCATCGCGGCCCTGGCCATGGTCACAGGTCAGTGTCCCCCCTGCGCCCCTCTCCCTCCCGCCCCCCTCCCCGCAGCCCCGTAACGGCCCCGCTTCCTTCTCCTTTGCAGAGAGGCACGGGCTGAAGGAACCCAAGAGGGTGGAAGAGCTCCAAAACAAGATTGTAAATTGTCTCAAAGACCACGTGACTTTTAATAACGGGGGGCTGAATCGCCCCAACTATTTGTCCAAACTCTTGGGGAAGCTCCCCGAACTCCGCACGCTTTGCACGCAGGGGCTGCAGCGCATTTTCTACCTGAAACTGGAAGATTTGGTGCCACCGCCAGCAATAATCGACAAACTTTTCCTGGACACTTTACCTTTTTAAGACTCTTGCCGTGCACTCGCAGTGAAGCGGAGAGAAGCGTCACCTGTCTGAAGGGGAATTCGTCTGGGCCCAAAGCAGCGCCTCCGGGCGCCAGCTCCCCGGCCAAACCCGCCTCGCTGACCTCCTGCGGGCAGAACGCCGACATTTTGGCTCTGGGGCATCATGGATGCACATCATGGACTACACAAATACCATGGTATAAACTTTTTCTTATCAGCTTATAAATGAATTTGTTATTAAGGACTTCTGGTCAAAAAAGATGACCATATCTGGCAACGCCGGGTGCGCAGCTAAGACTCACACGGTGACAAAGCAAGCGTTAAGGTGACCCACAAGTCTCACCCTCCTAAAGACTAAGGTTTTCTGCTGTAAAAGAGAGCTGTAATATATACAAAACCTAAATGTTGCGTGGGTGGCATGTCATTAAAGAAGGCGAAGGCTTGTAAATTTATCAGATGCAGTTTGGCTTTTACAAAATTATTCTGTGCCTATTTATGAGGAAATATGGAAAACGATTCTAAAAAAAAAAATTAAAAGCTAAACGTGTTTGCAAAAAAAAAAAAAAAAGAATAAAGAGAAAGAAAAATAAATCTCTCCATACCAGGAAAGCATGACAATTCTAGGGTGACGATGTTATAGGCACTTGCTATTTCAGTAATGTCTATATTCTATAAATAGTATTTCAGACACTATGTAGTCTGTTAGCTTTTATAAAGACTGGTAGTTATCTAAGCTTCAAACATTTTCTCAATTGTAAAATAGGTGGGCACAAGTATTACAGAACCCGAAATCCTCCCCACAGGGACACATAGTGTTTGTAAACACCGTCCGACATTCCTTGTTTGTAAGTGTTGTATGTACTGTTGATGTTGATTAAAAAAGAAGTTTATATCTTGATTATTTTGTTGTCTAAAGCTAAACAGATCTTGCATGCAGCAGCTTTCGACTGTTTCCAGAGTGCTTATAATATACATAACTCCCTGGAAATTACTGAGCACTTTGAATTTTTGTTTTGTTTTGTTCTGGTTTTGTTTTTTGTTTTTTGGTTGTTTTTTTTTTTTAAATGTCTAAAATTGTCGGTTAATATATTATTTTACATTCGAGTAATATTTTTAATATTGCCATATTCTGTAGTGTTTTTCTTTGTGTATTTCCTGTATGGCACATGACACAAGTCACTGAGGCACTGCTTTTTTTTTTTTTTTTTTTTTCCTGTGGTGTATGACAGTTACAAACGCTGATTTGGTTTTGGTTTTGATTTTTTTTTTTTTTTTTTCTCCTCTCCCGATAACTCTTTCTTTGAGAAAGACGATTTTAATGTTTACAACAATAAAACGCGTAAACGAATAGAATTTCGTCTTCTTTCTGTCTAAGCGAGAAGCAGCACCGCCAGCATCCCCCGCCCGCAGAGGACAATAGCCTCTGACAGTGTAGTAATAAACCGCAGAGGAGAATGGATGGGGCAGGTCCCTTTCAGTGTCGCCTGCGGCGGGACGCGCCGGCTCTGCGGGAGGAAGAGGAGGAAAACCTGAGGCTCCCAGGTTGGTCCTTTCCCCCCCATCTTTGCCGGGACGGGGCTGCCCGCGGCATCCC